TGTCGTATTTGTCTGGGTATATGTTGACTAGTTATTTTTCTACAAGGGTCACTGGAAATGTCCTTGCAAAATGCAATTAATTGGGGTGTTGCACCTTATAAACCTAAAAATGGGTGTATTCTTAAAATGATGTAAAACTAATCTTTTTTTATTCTTCCATGACACTTACGTTTGTAACTTTCTACTATGATTTTGTAACTGAAGCAGTATTAACACTGTAGAAAGATCATATCATTATTTCACACAATATTTTCCTCAAGAACACCGAAAAAAGCTATATTGTAATTATAAACATTACAACTTTACTGCATATAAAGTGACAATAGACACTACAGACTAAGAAAATGTTTTTCAAAGAATGACTGAAGATATTTTCTTTATACACCTCCAGAACAATACAGCTTCCAAGTCCCTAGAATTACTTTATCTAGTTCTTAAAATGGTAAAAAACCCGTAATAGTAAAAAAAAAAAAAAATCAAAATTCTATGCAAACACCACAGTAAGTTAGCTAGGTAGTCAAAACATGTAAATCCAAGTTATGACTTCTCAAAACAGAAATAAGGTCTTTTTTTTCCCCCCCCCCACTGTTTAGTCTTCTAGGACTTTAGAGAAGTTTCCAGATAACAGTGCCATTTAAGAAAAAACTCTTCATGTGCAACAGTACTTAAGGAGGACATCCACTAAGTGCAAGTTTCAAACAAATGTGGTTTACCATATTTCTGTGGTGATTTGCCAAGGCTGCTTGCCAGTAGCAAACTCTTCTCATTTCCTGTTCCTTTGGTTCCACAGCCATTACATATTGGGATAGGAACAGGTGCAGCATGTGGACTTGGAGGAGGAATATTTGGCCAGATTTTAGCAGCATCAACTAGGCTGTTTCTGGTTGGCTGTTGGGACAATTTTTCAAAATACACGTTCATTTAGTATACAATATTAAACACATACTATTCCATGCTAGAGATACTCAGTTTCCCTTCTGCAACAAATGCAAGTTCTGATCTACTTTATAAAGTTAATTAACAAGAGTATCACCGCGTGAAGGAAGCTTCTGTCCTAAAGTCTTTCTTAGCATACTTAGCTCTGGATTTCCAAATGCAAGGAAAGAATCTATTGAAATCTGCACATCAAGATGCGTCATCTTTAAGAAGTACTAATATGTATTTAAAGGAAAAAAAAAAAAAGCCTAGCATGTGATATCAGCACAAGGTTGAATCACCTCTCTCACCCCTAGAATAGTGGTCATAATGCCAAACTTAATGAATTCACCATTTAGTTTATTGAAATGACGACATTTCACTCATATTGGAAATTCAAATTTGGAAGCTAAAGTAACACATCTTGCAAAGTTGTGTATATTATTTCACTTGAAATTCCTAATAAAATTCAAGTACAGTTTTAATCAGTTCGAGTATACTAAATTGGTATTGAAGTATAAATTACAAATTTGGGAGGACTGAACTAAGACCTATCAAACCAAACCAAAACTAGAATATCCTTACAGCATCAGACATTTCACTTGACTTACAGATGGATCTTTATTGATCAGCTGCCCAAGGATACATGTTAACTGTCATTAGCCTTTTCTCAGTTGCTACTATGGAACATTTTAATTGGAGCTGCCGAGATAACTGTCTTTCAAATCCAGTCAAGATTCTGCTCGAGTAGAGTACAGATCCCCTCTAAGCTCAACAATGTGTGAGTCTCTTTTGTCTTCCTATCAAATTGAATGTTACCTCAGAAAAGAGATCATCTTCCTAAAGGTTATCTGAAACATTTGGACTGTGCATCACCAACTAAGGGGATGCAAGCTGCAATCCATGGAAGCTGGTGTTTTGCTCAAATAACATTTCAGCATTAACCATATACCGTGCTTAACAAGTAAGAAACACTATGTGTACAAACCTTGCTCAAGCAGTCATTGCAGTAGTGAGAGCCCTTTAAACAAACTGAAGGTGCCACGTTTAGGTGCAAAGGGTTGGCGCACACACGTGATGTTAACTCCGACTGTGCAATATGCTCATCCAAGTGGCCTGTAGCCCCACTTGTGAATTCAGAACAAGGAAAATAGCCAGAAGATGTGCAGCTCGGAAGGGCTGGAAACTGATGCAGTTTGTGCACGTTACCATGACAGGACTGGAAATGGAGTTTTCCACAACAGGGCAGATGTTGACAGGAAGACAAACTGTTTTCTACACACATGCCAGGGAACTCACTCGCAATGCCTGCCAAATTGCTTCTAGCTGGAGGGTTCTTCAGTGAGGATGCAGACTGATAAGCAAATCCTGACCCTACTTGACAAGTAATCGTCCCAGTGCTTTTTGAGTCTAATATTGTGCCAGGGTGAATCAAGTTACCACCACCACCACCACAATGCATCTGTGGAGTACAAGAAGAGTCAGAGCCATGAGCACAGCAGCTTACTTTCGGGCCTGACGAAAGCTGTATTTGCTGTTGCTGAAGAGGATGAACATCAGGAAGTGGTACTGCAGGAAACAGTTTTGAGCCAGCATTATGAGGAGATGAAGCATCCTTCAACTCTGCAGCAACTTTCTTGTTCTCCATGTAATCTTTCTACAAAAGGAAAGCTCAGTTACATTCAGATACATAAACAATTTTATAGTATAAATGAGCATATTCTTAGACTGTTACCATTTTGACACTAACCTAGATTTTGAAAAGCATTATCTTTATGATTACTATTACCTCACTGTCTGAACATGTAAAATATTAAGAGAAACATGCCAGTTATGTGTGCCAGCCTGAGATATCTTGATATCGGTGGATTTCGGAAGCAACAAAACCAAAAAGCTATAAAGCAAATAGCAATGGGTCTGTAAAACAGAATTTAGAAAGCAGAAAACTGTTAGGCTAAGACTGAGAAATACTCTGCAATTACAAAGCAAAACAAGATTTATTTCTTGTAATAGCAAACGTAGATGGATGCGATGTAAAGTAAAAAAACCCACAATTTGGAGGTACATAAGTAATTACCTACTTCAAATAAGGACTTTAAAATTGTATTACAGTTTTAGAAATAATGCATTAAGAGATTAAGACTGTTAAAAAGGAGATATAAAGGCGACGAAAGACCTTAAATTCCCATGCAGATTTTGTACTTACCACAGTAACTGCTGTCTCCTCCTCCCCTCCCCACTCGCCCCCTTTTGTCAGCAATAACACTGCAGTTAGTTATACCACTCTGTACCAGGATAGCAACCGGGCTTTTAGTAAAGCAACGAATTACCGTTTTCGCACTGCAAGGCAAAGACTTTTCAGAAGAAGAAAAGCAATTAGAAAGTTTCCACAGCCATGGTTTAGCATCATTCTCTTGTTGCTGAAGCCATCCAAATGATCTATTGCAGAGGTTCTCCGTCCTGTTTCCTTCCATCATACAGCCAAACAAAAATGTTCAACATTCTTTCATTTCCCCTTCCTTTCATTCTTCCCACCTGATAAAGAGGAAAAAAAAACAAAAATGTAAGCTTTAAATAACTTTTACATTAATATAGAAAAAAAATGCGGTCTTATGAATTCTACTACTTCTAGATCTCTGGACCTGCATTATTTATGTTAAATTTAATTATGCACATGGGACATGGCCTTGACTATTCCTGTTTAGTACAGAAATATTCCTCATGATCTGCAGCACAGCTGAGGCAGTCCGAGGGAAACACTATTTAAGTACATGGCATTAACTACAGACTCCCAGAAAGGTACTGCTGCTGACATGAAATATTCCCTGAAACATTCAGTGCATTCTCCTTGAAAGAGAGGGCAGGAGGTAGGTTTTCCAAGGACAGCTCATCAGTAAATACCAAATAGGTGCAACTGAACTCAGCTGGAAGAATTAAGCTGCATATTCACTGGCTTTCCATTAGCTAACAAAACTATATATACACCTATATCAAACACACAACATTTAGTATTTAAACAGAGCTTTAAATTATTAAAATTATTTACAAATATTTCTCTTAATTCTCAAGCTACCCCACTGCACACCATATCAATTTAGCATTAGAGAGCCACAAAGAAGCAAAGCAACTTGTTTAAGGCCCAGTCACACTGTGCTAGAAAAACTATGATTATCGCCCGTACATGCACTGCATTCATTACACTACACTCCTGGTTTTTTGCATTTCATGTTAAACAGAATAACCATGGGATGCATTCCAATTGCCCTAGCAGTGTTTTTAAGACAAAAGTTTTCTGTTTTGGTTTTGGGGTTTTTTTTTGTTTTTTTTTTTTTTTTTCTTTTTTTAGCAGAAACGTTTATTCACACGAACCCTAAGTACCCACAAATTCTGCTGTATAGAGTTGTAAGTTGCAAAGCTCTCTAACTCTTGAATACGTTACTTTTAAAAACGTCTGACAGCACCACTCGGTTCAGGAATTCAAACGACCCGTAAGCTGCGTTAACCACCCACGCCCGCGCTTCGCCCCCGGCGCCCGGCAACTCCCCGGGCGCTTACAGCCCAGCTCGCCCCGGCCGCAACCCGGGGAGCGCCGGCGGGGCCCGACCCCCCGCGCCCACACCCCCAGCCCCAGCGCACCCCGAGGCGCTGCCGGGCGAACGGCCGCTCCCTCCCTCCCTCCCGCCCGGCCGCGGGGCGGCGCCGGGCCGAGACCGTTGTGCGGCTCCGCCCGGGGGCCGGGCTGCCGCCCGCGAGGGGAGCGGGCCCCGGCCCCGCCATTCCGCCGGGGCCTTCCCGCTGCTGCAGGCCGGTGGGGGCCGCCCCGGGGTGGCGGGAGCGGACGGGCCCAGCTCAGCGTTGCTCTGCCCCCGCCGCTCCTCACCTGAGCCGCCCCCCGCGCCGCCGGCCCCCACACGCCGCCGGGTCCCCTCACACCCCTTTGTTGTCCTCCCTCCTCCCTCTCCGCTCCTTCTGCCGTCAAGCGACACCGAGCGCCGGAAACCAGTCCGCTGCCGCAAATGCGGCTGTCGTAACGTCCCACTCCCTCCTCCTCCTTCTATTTCTTCTCCTCTTCTTCTTCTTTTATCTTCTTCCTCCTCCTCCTCCCGGGCGCGCCGTGGGCCGCTCTGGGCTGGGAGCGATGGTTTTTAAACCTGCCCGGGGCTCTCGGCAGCCGTCGGCGTGCTGGCCGGGGCGGAGCCCAACAACACCCCCGGCCCGGGGTAGAGGGGCTGCGAAGGAGCCCGCGCTCCGTCCTGAGGGGATGAGGGCGACCCCGCTCAGAGGCAGAGGGGCGCTCCGCGGCCGGCCCGCTGACAAACGCCCCTCTTCCCCCTTACACCGGGACCTCCTCACCCCTTACACTGCAGGGCCGGACAGAGCGGGAGGAGCCGGCCCCGGGGCCTCCGGGTATTCCTGTGGCGGGGCCGCGGCTGCCGGCAGGTACTGGAGCTGCTGTGCGCGCCGTTCAGGCATACGGCAGGCAGTGAGGAAACTGCCGCGGCGTTGAACTGGGCTCTTACAGGTAATGTTTAACGCCTTGTGCAGAATTTAGCTTTCACTTAAAGCTTTTTTTTTGTTTGTTTGTTTTTTGCTAACACATAAAAAAGTCTCAGTAGGTTGCCAGGGACGGACAGTTTTAACCACTTTTAAAAGCCTGTTTACTTGAAGGCAGTGTATAGTCCTAAACCCAAGGACAGCAGCTGAATATCAGTATATTCAGAAATCTGCTGTTTGCTTATTTTAACAGAAGTTTGTGACCTCTTTGTACTGTTCTCTGGATCGCTTTGGGCATCATTAGCTGTGTATAAAGAAATAACCCAAGTAAGATATATACAGCTTAAAAATATTAAGCAATTACTGGCTAACAAAAAAGAACAACTTACTAACAAGCCTCTGGATTAGACATTAATGTGGTCCTCACCCCCTGATAAAACACCTGAAGTCTGCTGGCCAAACAAGCACCAAGAAAAGGGTCAGCCTCCTCTGCTACCTCAGTTTTAATAACTTGTCATTCACTTAGTTTGTTGCTATAGAGCAGTGCCTTAAAAGCACCTGGCTTGCCAGCTGATTGTACATTGAAATGCAGAGCTGGGTGACCATACCTACAACAGGTATGGATGATAGCAGAAGTCTCTGATGAGCCCTACTAAGAACACTCGCCACCAACTTGACTTTCCCCGGTGCCAGTCCCAGTTACAGATGCATAGACACAAATAGACAGAAATTAAGGCATAACACTAACATTTATTAAGAGCAAACATATGAAAGATTACAAATAATAGTAAAATAAAAGAGTTTGCAGCAGTGTAAGAGGAAGGGGTCCCATACTCACAATCCTTATGGCAAACTAGGGGAGTCTGTGGGACAGATGGTAAGGTGGCAGCTTCTGTACAGAAGACATCCCTGAAGAATCTCACAATTTGGGGTCTTTATACCTGCTTTTTATACTCTTTGAGGAGAGATCTAATAATCCTCACCCATGTACGGAGAGATCCAGTAATCATTATACACATGTACGTAGAGGTCTGATAACCATCATGCACTGAGACAGTTGTGGGTTTTTTGTTCTTACAGGGGAACTACACAAATACACAGCTGTGGTCATGATTAGTCCCATATGTGGAAAATTGTGGCTCATTTGTAATGCTGAGCTAGCTCTTTAGCTCTGTTACAATCTTGGTATGACAGGAGGGTTGTACAGTTTGTGATTTGATATAACAGGAGGGTGGTATGACCATGGCTTCTTCTGTCCTCTAGAAGGTAACACCAGACTAGCTCCCCAGCTCTGTTTAACCTTCGACCTGTGCCCAGAGTCAGTCACTGACGAGTTTTTAGCAACAATAATGCCAAGGTCTAAGGCCTCGCAAAGTCTTGCCCCTGCTACGATGGTTCACTCAGGGTGTAATGCTGCTGTGTACCAAGGCCTTGCATGGTGTTATATTTTGCTTTGCTTAACAAGCCAGAGATATTAATGAACATTTAACAGTTTCATGAAAAATTTGTCAGTTCAAGATATCAAAAGGGTTTTAAAGTAGTGAGAATCTGTTTCTTGCTTAAGCATGTGGAAATCCAATTTTACTTATACAGACTGCAGAGAATTATCTAACATCTTTAAAGCGACAGAAATAGGTTTTATTGATGTTAAATATTTGCTCTTCAGTGACAGCAATATTTCCATATAATATTCTGATACATATGTTTGTCACATCTTGTTATGAGTATCAGTAATCCATTTAAAAAAAAAGTTCAGTAGTTTGTAATTACAATTGATGAGCATTTCATCCGTGGAGTGAGTGGTTCTGTGGTGAGTTATTTAATTCTTGCAGCAAAGCAAATCTTGTTTCCCATAAGAAGCTTATTGACAAAAGATAAGGTGTTGCAACCTTACCAGAACTTAAAGTGTATCCATTTTTGCCCACTTAGTTTTCATGGAAGAGTCAGCGTGGCGTTCTCATTAAAATAGCCAGCACATGAACCCTAGCACCACAAAAATCTGCCATTTGTTAATTATTAATCAGTAAACTAAAAATAAATGCATAAAATACTTTCTTCTTCTCCTCTGCTAATTTTAAAACAGACAAATGTTCTCATTCTTCTTTCAAACAAGGCAATGATAGCAATTATAGTAACCTTCTTCTTAATATTTATTGCTTGTGTACAGTAGTGCCTCTGAGCCTCTGGCACTTGCTAGGGTGCTGTTACACTGGTTTGGAATTGGATGAGGGGTTAAACAGCTTCCTCTGAAATATGAGAATTTTTGCTATGTTTTACAAGTATTTCAAGATGAGAACTATTAAAAATACTCAGGTGTACCTTTGATATAATCTCTGTACTCATGCTATCCTCAGAGATTTGTTCAAAGAGTTGAAATAAAATGTCCTTTGTCCCAAACTTGCAAACAACGTACACATTTTTTAATTACTGGGGACATACTACAATAGTATGTGGTTTATTTTCTGTAACTTATCTGATAATAAAAACATTCCGGAGTAATGACAGAACTGCCAGTTGCTGGTAACCCAATTTTTAAAATACCTAATTTAGTTTTCTATTCCTAGTTGTATAATAGTTTGTCTCCATTTATTTCTGCTGAACATCTGACCTCAAAATATAAATATTTTGCTGAATACCTGACCTGAAAGTTTAATTGTTTTACTGACCCTTTTCAGTTAAAGTTATCTTAGCTGTGGATAGATTTCTTTTAGTGGAGTATTCTTACAGAATAGCGTCTGTCCTCTTTGTTACAGTCCCAGCCTTGTTCTACAGAATCTGGGAGAGGCACGTTCCCAGTTTAGGCAGTGAAGTTTTTTCAGGATCAGACTCTGCTCCAGGCCTGGTATTGCATCACAGTAGTAAATGAAACAGGGATGGGGGCCCCTGCTGTGGGTGCCTCTCATCTGGCAGTTTGGAAAGCGTGCTGCTGGGGTGTGAAGTGATACTTGGTGACATACAGCCATATGAATGTGGGCTGGAGTGTATCTACATATATGTGATAACTTGTGTTTTTGTTTTGACTCGGGGAAACAAATGCCAGACACGCCTAATGACCAAGTGTTTGTGTACACTGTTGGGTGGGAACACACCTTGGGCACCTGAGGCAGCCTCCGCATACCTCAGTGCCCTTCCCATCCATCCAGCGTGGTGAGGGCACTGCGAGTAATTAGTTGGCTGCGTTGAGCTGAGCTCCGTCCAATTGTCTGCGGGGAGCAACTTCCCCCTGCGGATGCTTGCAGCTCCTTTTCTGGAATGGTGACACAATGCTGAGATAGAGATGAGTGCAAGTGTCTAATATTTCACAGGCTGCATTGTCCTTGTGAAACAGGCTTCAGTGACACAGAAGCCTTTTCCTTGGTTGTGAAAAGAGGACCTTAGTCTAAAAATGTTGCATTGACATTAAATAGTCTCACCGCTTGGACTTTCGGAAGAGGCCTTCGGGATTAAAAAAAAAAATGAATATTTGATGTAAAGCTTGTCCTCTTTTAGAATATTTCAAGGGAAAACATACTTAAAATTATAGCATGGTGGTAAATGCTGATTTATTAACACCTGAGAAGATGCAGGCCCTTGTGCACACTGTAGCCCACAAGGGCTGGTAACAGGGCTGAGCGTGAGGGTGCTCAGAGCACGCGGCCGGTCGCTCCCCACTTTGGGGGTGACGGCTGAGGGCGGGAGCCGAGCCGAGCCCGCCCCGGCCGCCGCCCCCCCCAAGCGCCTTTTGAAAGTAGCGAAAGTTTCCAAACCTCCCAGCAGACGCGCTGTGGCGGCGCTGATTGGCGGAGCCCTCCGCGGCACGTGACCGGCGGCCAATGGGGCGGCCGGGCCGGGCCGAGCCGAGCCGAGCCGAGCGGTGGCTGCCGGCGCGGCGCGAGCTCCCCGCGGCTGTGGCGGCGGTGTTGGTGAGAGCGGGGCTGCCCCCACTGCCCGAGCGCCCTTGCCACGGGTAGAGGAGGGAAGGGCGGTTTTGGTGCGGCGCAGCCCCTCCTGGCGCCCCTGGTCGTGCGGCGGTAACTGGGGCAGGGTCGGGGTGTCGGAGCTGGGACTTGCCTCTCTGCGGGCCGCTCGCCCCTTCCCGCGGCCTTCCTTGCGAGCTTGTGTCGCCTCCTGTTTGTGGAGCTGCTCTTGCGGTAGCTGGTGGGGAGGGGAATGGAGCGGAGCGTGGGAGTCGTGCCCGCTGGTTTAACTCCCTCCTGGCTTCGTGCTCCGACTGGGAATGGGGAGCCCCAGAGCGCTGCCCAGCTGGAAGCATCAAGATTAGGCGTTTCGAGAGAGAAAACTTCCTCGAGCTTCCGTAGAAATCACTGGAAACTCGGAAGTATTGGAATTGGGCTGATATTTGAAAACACGAAGGCTTTGCTGAATAAAGCTTTTCGGTAGAGAAGACCCTGAGAAGATGACCCTTTTCAGCGCTGGCTGTGGGAGTCTGTAGTAATCCTGGCACTCTGACCTTTTCCTTGTCTTTCTCTGTTGTGGTGATTTTCTTTTGTATTGCTTAAACAAAAGAAAATAGGCTCTTGTGTTACAGGAAGACCCTTGCAAGGAGACTGCTGTTGTAAGAAAATGTAATTTTCATAGGATGGGAATGTTACTTTTCAGGAGCAAAGAGGGGTTTTGTTTTGGTTTATATTTAGGGAAAAACGTTTAATAAGAGCTTAATCATCTCTGCTGTGGATAATTCAGCAGTATTTATGGTGCTGTTTTACTTTTTTTATTACAATATTAATTTATCTGACTTGGACCATCAGGTATTGCTACAGAAATAGGGCAACATGGTTCACCAAGCTAAAATGTTATTTAAAAAAAAAAAAATTCGGTATGCAGAGTTGTCTTGAGTCCTCTATGCTAGGACTGCAACATAATCTAAGATGAGGTCCTCATGAATTTGGTGACCTCAGACTGATTCCCAAGTTGAAGTTCCTTCAATAATTTTGTGTGTGGCTTTTCTTAATGTTGTGTGTTTTTTTTTTTTTTTTTCCTTAAGAATTTTGCAATTCTGCTCTCACTTGTATGAAATTGTTTCCTGCAGCACTTATGCTGAGATATTTTTCTCCTTGCAGAAGTCCGTTCCCCACACCCATGAACATTTCCACTTCCTGTATGATGTAGAGGTTTTACAATGTTTGTGACCAGCACTTGTGCTGCTTGTATGCCGGAAATCTGGCCACATGTCTCTTCTGCCTTCACGTGTGTGAAAACAAATAAGGTGCAGCCTGTGTATGCCTGGTATATACTATGACTTTCTCTCCTTGTTTTTTTCCACATTTGCCAATGTTTAACAAAACATTATTAAAACCTCTTTCACCCCTTTTGCTCTCCCCCCTTTTGTAGTGAGCCTAGACAATGAAGAGTTCTTAATTGGTTTAATTAATTACTCTCCAGGCATTTTGCATGCTGTCTCTAAGCTGTTAAAAATCAAGGGGAGAAGGCAGTAGGGGGAAAACAAAAAGTCAAAGACCTAACCTTGCTACAGGCAGTTTAGAAAGATTTATGTGAGTGGTTTTTTGTTGTGGTTTTTTTTTTTTTTTTTTTTCAAAACAAATTTCAGAAAATAAAAAGAGGCTTTAATACTTTGTGTAAAACTTGAAATTTTCCTTTTCAGTTTAGGTCTGTATCTTGCATCTTTGGATAGTTTGAAAATCCATGTGAGATAAGATGTAGTGCAGGTGTACAGGGAATGTAATAGGTCTTCCTTTTGTGTTATGGACAAAGAGCATGTGCCTGTGGCATGGGACAGTAGTGAAACAATCTCTGCCATGTTGTGTTATCTCTGTGGTATAAATATAGGTCCACAGTCCTTGCATGTGTTTGCAGTTTAACAATTAATTTTAAATTATAAGTACTGTTTTGTAATGGGTACCATGAAACAGAGCGTATTAGTAACAGAGAACATCCTTAGTGGGTCCATAGTCCTATATTTACAAAGAGAGAAACCAAAGGGGACAGCATCTAAATGTTTCTGTCAAAGTTACCAAGGTTCTGTGGAACTCTTAAATCTTATGGCTTGGTTAGGGAAAGTTTCATATGTGACCATACAATCTTAAAAAAATGCAAATTAGTGCATTCTTGTAGTCCTTCCAAAGTGCAGTGTAAAAACAAGTGAGAGCCAGATAAGAGCAAATTCGAGCTTTTGGGGCCAACAGGAGCTGTGTCTTTTGGTTTCAAAAGGTTATTTGAAAGCTTTTGGGAGCAAAATGTCTTGCATTCCATCTTTATCTTGTTTGACTTCCTTTTGTTGACTGTCTGAACACAAATACGGGATTTATTATAATGCTTGCTCAGAAGAATTCCTCTTTGGAGACTTCTGAAATGTATTTTAATTTGTGTAGCAAAACCAGGCATACCCTGAGTTGAATCTCTGTTCTTGAAGAAATACAGAAACTTCCTGTTGTCTGAGTGGTGAGAAATAACTATCTAAAGGAAACTCTGACTTGTTCTCTGGAGTGGTTTGGCCACAGTAATGGATGCTGGTCCTTCTTGGTTTTTCATTGAAACTGCATCGCTTCTTTGTGTCTGTCCCTCATCTGCAGAAGAGAAGTTTTTTCTTCACAAGTGCACTGCAAGGATTGGTGTATGTCTGCACAGTGCCTTGAGCATAAGGACATGCTCATTAACATCAAAGGTACTTTCAGTTCGCTTAAAAATAATAGACTAGATGTGTTGTAAACTATCCCAATGGTTTACTAATTATGCTTGGTCAGGATTTTCTATTTAATGGGCAAGGGTACTATTTGGAAAATCACTCTTTCTAACATTCCTTTTCATCTTCCTCCTTCCTTCCCCCCCAGTGCATACTTCTATAAATGCATATGAAGAGCAGCAGCCTTGAGACTTCTTGCTGGAAGTGTGTCAATACATCACTCAGTGGTTTTATTTGTTAAAAGAAAGATGTAGTTTTGTCTTATTAACATTTTGTGTTAGGAATCTGAATTATAAAAACTAAAACCTGGTAACTTTCCCCCGTACCTTCCAGCTCCCCTTCTAAATAATGCTGTAATTTCTGCGTGTGTGTAGCTGAGGTGTGCGAGCACAGCCCAGTTAGCTGTGACAGCTGCTTATTCTTTGCTCAATAATCTGAAAATCACCTATGCTGTGAAAAGGACTTGTGCATTGCAGCATTGCTTGGGTAGGTAAGAATTGGGCTTTAGATCACCAGACTACTTTGAGTACTTAATAGTGTTTTCTGTAGTAGAGGTGAGAACCACTAATATTTGTTTCAGCAGAGTTACTAAATAGATGGCTGTTAATCCTGTTTAAACCAGGTGATTTTCTGGAGAGGAAAGTCTCAATGTGGGTTATGAATGATTTTTTTCTATGGAGTTCAGTGGATGTGCAGTGGATGTATGCTTTCTTCAGCTATGACATGTTTCTCAGAAGGTCTAATCCAGCATTTCCTGAGTATCATAAATAAGAAAAGTAAAAGGCAAGACTGATATCTAAATGGTCTTTGAAGTCTTTGGCTGTTTTCCTCTATTTCATAAGGATTACCTCTAGGAAATGTTTTGCTGAGTAGATCTGGAGCTGAAACTTGGTAGAATAACTGTTTCCTCAGTCATTAGATTTCAGTGATACATTTTTCTGAGAACTGTCATTGTCATGAATTGTTCAACTCGACTTTTATTTACTGTTCTTGATCTATTTGGGTTTATATTAATTTGATAATGTCTGTGTGGAATCTGCCTCACCCAGGGTTGGACATGGGCAGATTATCCAGAGCATTAGGTTTGATATTTCTCTACTGTCAAGACTAACTCATATAAAATGATATTAGTGAGTGACCTGCTTATTAGAGTGCATAATGCAGATCAGAGGGCATTTATTTAATTGTGGTATCCAGATACTTAAGTCTTCAAGTGGGAGTGACCAACTTCAGGTTATTGATTCCCCTGTGGCTCTTTCATGTGTCATTCCCACTTGGGACTATGTCCTATGACTGGGTTTATGCTGGCACAGGGACAATTGAGTGGTCTGGATTGCTCACTGGATTGCTGCAATCTCTCTGCATACCTAGTCCAGTCAGGTGGTATCCCACTAAAATCTCTGTGGAGACTTTATCCTCATTTCCCTGGGAATTTCTGGAGCTCCCTTCTCCCATGGCTTTCTGAGGTATCCAGATATATTGTGGTTCTCAGACATACATGTATTGTGATATTTCAGGTTTAAAATTGGGTAGTTTTGTCTATATCAACCTAGGCAGAAATTTTTCACGTGTCCATCAGTTATGTCCTTAAAAAGCTTAAGTGTTCCTGGTAATGTTAACACAGGAAATTAGTATGTTGAATACATTATCTGTGTCTCTCTGAAGTTTCTCTTTAATTTCATGGTGTCTTCAGGGTTGTTGAAATCAACCTTAATTACACTGTTTTTGGAGCTGAAGTTGTGCCTGAGATGTTTTCTCTTTTACTTGTGTTCTCTGTGTGTTGGCAGAGCTGCAGCTTGATGCTCGGTGCTGTGTGGTCAGAGAGTGGGGAAGATACTTACTGGTGGGGATGTGGTGTGAGCATCCAGCAGACTTGGGAGAACTGGAGAAAGGGACCTGATTACTCAGTAGTGATTCTTTCACATTTATGGTATATCTGACGGAGCCCTGTCAAGGCTGCTCTTCAGTTTGGTCTTCAGATGTGCAGTGACTTTCTGCGAGGAGGGATGCACTGATGTGCATCAAAAAGTACTGACATAGATCACTGCATTAGTTCTTATGCCCAATCCTTTTGTTTTCCAGGGGGAGAAAAATGACACAGGAGTTTTAAACTTAGAGGACTCATAATGGAAGACACAGAAGGACATAATTTCAACTCAGTAGAAGAGGAAACCGGATACTGGAAAGAGTTGGCTATGAAATACAAGCAGTGGTAAGGCAGTGGCTTCATTCCTCTTAAATTGTTTGATAGAGAGCATAAGACTGCATGCAAAGACATAGGTAGCACCACATAGGGGAGTAGATTCAGGGTGGTTCAGCTATATTAAGTGGCAGCAGTAGCAATGCTTCTGCATGAGCTACAGTGGCCCAGAATCCCTTATGCTTGTTTGAGCGGTGGATCTGTGGTGCCGTGGCACTGTCGGTGTTGGCTTCTGCTCTGGTCCGAGTAGGACTCGGTGCTGAAATTGTGCCTCTGACTGCAGTCTGTGGGCAGCCCAGGTAAATGTAACTCACTGCAGAACCTTGTTGGGGGTGGGTGGTCTGGGTCATTGCAGAGAGAGATCCTGCTGTTCCTTCTTTAGATCTCTGTGGATCAAGAACAGTTTGACAGCATGCACATGGAGAATCCCCAGCTGAGAATGGACATACTTGGCTCTTCCCCTTAGCTCAGTATGTTGCTCTAAATGCAGTAACTGGTGAAAAAAATCAAGACTTTTTAAATGCTAATATTGGTAGGTCCTTTCTTAGACTAGATGTTCAGACCTTTTTGATGAATTCTGTTGCTGGACTTACTGTCTAGTGCTGAGAATACACAGGAGGAATTGCGTGAATTCCAAGAAGGGAGTCGAGAGTATGAAGCTGAACTGGAAACTCAGCTGCAGCAAACAGAGTCCAGAAACAGAGACCTTCTGTCAGAAAACAATCGTCTGCGAATGGAACTGGAGGCAGTTAAGGTAAGAGTGGATGATGCATACAGTATCTGTACATCCTAAGTGCAAAGGTGAATGAGACAGGCATGTGCAGATTCAACTTGCCTTGTGGAGCATTATATAACAACTGAACAGAAAACTGCAGAAAAAAAAGTATTGAAAAATTAAGACATACCAATCTGTTGTCTGCTTTGGGGGTGTTGGATACCTTGGTAATGCTCCTGTACCCCTGTTTGCAAGGTGTGGCTCTGTGTCAGGGTAGATTTGAGACAGGAGAAAATTGTTTGCAGTAGAGTAAACATGAGCATAACTGAGCTGCTGTTTTATTACTTATTCCATCTACTTAGTGCTTTTGTTCACAGCTTTCTTGCTGTCTGCATTGTGAAGACACAGATAATATTGCAGAACAATCAAAATATAAACATTTTTGCATTATGTAAGAAAACTCAGTAGTTTTAAACATTTTTTTACATAGTTGTGTATTTATTATCTGGCATCCCAGATAAGATGGGAAGTAGCAGCCAGTGGGTAACACATAGAACTGAGACACAAAACAGTTTCTGTCCTGGTTTTGTTACTGAATCTGTCTGTACTTGGGGGAAAAGTAATTTATCCACTTCACACTTGGTTAGCCTTCTGTGAAACTAAGAACCATCTAAAAAGCATTAACTTCCATAATTATAAAACATAAGGGATGTGAACTTTTTGAGATTGAACTTCTTACCAGAATGACTTAAGAAATAATGAAGCTATCTAGAGTGTGAAGAATGATGAGTCTGCCTCATTTCAATCCCATTAAAGATGTTGCTAGTCCCCTGTGCTAGGTGACAGATTTAGGAAATACTGGTAAGTTTCCTTAAACTTGAAAAAAAATTGTCACTGAAGTTGGTGTGCTGTTTAAAGGTTTGATCTTGTTGGCCTTTTAGTTAAAGGTGAGACGTAGTCACCCAAGAAAGAGTAGGCTGTATTTTGTAGGGCTAGGTCAATATCTGTGGAAGCATAGATTAATTTAATTATACTTCTTCTACTTAATTGGATACAGTGATGAGTTAATGGGAGTTAAAGTATTTGTGTAAGGATTAATACAGATTTGCAACCCCTTTTGTCTAAGCTGTTGTCCGAATTACTGTATTAAGGAAATACTCTTCCATCCCAGACAGATGTCCTGTCCCTCTATCACCAACTTAGTGATCTTCTCCCCACTTTTTGACAGCAAAGCCTCCAAGACTTGTTTTGTTCTGTATGTTATGTTGCACTGATGTTTGTTCTTGTATTTAATTGCCTTAGCAGTATTAAATGTTGTGTGGAGTATTGGTCTGCTGTTCCATGTAGCCACATAAGCGCATGGAAGCTGATGGGTGTGGAGAGAAGGCATAAGTTTGACAAAAATAAAACCTGCAGTTCATTAAATTCAGGAGGGTGTGGACTATTTTCTTTTTCTAGAGGAGCTAGGATGAGAGAAGGGGACAATGAACCAGCCAAAGCAATTAAAAATAAAACCAGTAGGAAACAATATAGAACTTCAGAAAGTGGAGGGTAAATATATTTTAGAAAAATCTTAAATTATTCTTCACAGTAGGTAACTTTATTAAAACATATTCTGCTTGAAACAAACCTTTTAACAATTAGCTATTAATGTGGCCTGCAAACTGCAGTAACAGTCTGCAGCGAAGGAACAGAGACTCCATTGATGGCCAGATCAGCTGATAGCTTATTACAATTGGCTAAAAATAAAGACTCAAGCCTTGCAGTTCTGGTCTTTTATCTGAATCAATTCAAGAGCAAAGCATTAAACTAGTGAAGCTATTGAGCAGCAGTGTTAACTGAGCCCACCATCTGGGTCAACACTAGTGAACTTTGCCAGGCCCACACAGCTTGTGGCTTTGAGCTTACCAGCCTAGTGTGTGTGCTTGTTCCCCCCTCAGAAACCAGCATTCACACTACTTAAAAATAAATGGAAATAATGCTTTGGAGGGTTTGTTTAGAGTCTTGAAAAGCTAGTTGAAAGTAATCTACCTCTTAGAGCTTGAGGGCTCTTAAATTCAGCATGTAACTATGCTTCAGAGATTCAGAATTATAGCACTGTCACCACACTGTAATCAAATAAGGATTTCTTAATTCAGAATGGATATCTCTTTCCCTCCTTGACTATACATTTCATGTGCTAAAATAGCTATCTTCAAATTATCAGTCATGCTAGACTACATGCCACGGTTTTCAAATTCCAGTGCGTGGATTTGTTTCCAGTGCCGTCAAGTGTATTGTACTTAAAATCTGGATGGAGAAAGCACTTCAGGAATGCTATATTACTCTTGGAGTTTCTCTGTCATGTTGAAGTGAGCTGATAGCAGGGTGGTGGAATGTAAAGTGTTTTAGTAGATGGTGTGCTGTCATGTGATGTAGAGTTAACTGAATGTAGCTGCGATAGCAGGAGAGAGTGATGGAGAAGCTAAGTCTTCCTTTCCGCCTGTGCCTCTCTTAAATGTACCTTTGTGTGCATGCTTTAAAGGAAGGCAGAGTTTTAGGTTCATGTCCAAAGCATGTTGCACAACTGCAGCTGAGATAGTTTGCGATCTAGAACTCTGAACCTGCTTTGGGCTACTAAAAGCACAGGGGCACTGGAGAGTCCTGCTGGTTCCACAGCACTATGTAAGTGTCATGCTTGGATTATTTTTTTTTTATTGTTATTTAGGCTCTTAAGTACTGCTTGACTTTTTATTAGAGTTGAAAATAAGTGGCTTCTCTTGCATCCTGCTTTGTGTGCTGCTAAAGCTCTTGGGACTCAAAAATTGTGCTGAGTCTCACTGTCTGGGAGAGCAGGGAATGGCCCTGTGCTGTGGAGGTCAGGAACTATTCCCCAGCACTGTTGTTTGATAAGCAGTGACTGGAAGAGCTCTTGTCTGCTGGCAGCCCAGAAGTATGTGAGCTTTGGCATTTTACCATATGTAAGGTGATGTTTCTCAAGAACAATGTCATAGAAAGAGAACATGTGTTGCTAAGTCACTAATATGATGTTTGATTTGCCCTTGATTAGGAGAAGATTGAAATGCAGCATTCGGAAGGATACAGGCAAATCTCTGCACTGGAAGATGACTTGGCACAGACAAAAGCTATCAAAGATCAACTTCAGAAATACATTCGAGAACTTGAGCAAGCAAATGATGACTTGGAAAGAGCAAAAAGGTGACCCAACTTCTGTGTTTTCTTTTTCCTCCTCTGTTCTGTCCTGTGAGTGTGGTGTTGCTGAGCTTAGCACTGCCATCACTTAGTTGATGATTGTAAAGATGTTTGGGGCAGATTGGAAGTGTGATAATTTTTTTTCCCTTCCATTGCCCCCACTGCATGCTTTCATATCTTACAAGCTAAAATAAAAAATAATACTAAACCAAAGCAAACAAGACAAAAATTCTACATTATCTTTTTTCTTGTGAGAGAGGGTGTTCCTCTGTCTGCTTGAAGGATCTGGTAGTGACATTTTGTGCACTCTTTTTCAGAGCCACTATAATGTCCCTTGAGGATTTTGAACAGCGTTTAAATCAGGCTATTGAAAGAAATGCTTTTCTGGAGAGTGAGCTGGATGAGAAAGAAAACCTTCTGGAGTCCGTGCAGCGTCTGAAAGATGAAGCTAGAGGTTAGACAGAAATTCCTTGCGTTGTTCCCTTTCTCCCCTCCTGGCTTTTAGCTGTTCAGCTCTCTCCATATATCTTAGAGCTAGGCTTTTAAGTTCACATCTTTTAAATCTATCTGAAATGTAGAAGCAAATGAGGAAGCTTTAAAACTGTCCCCCCCACTCGTTGAACTCCTGACCTTGTTCCAGAGCTGCTCACAGAAGCAAAAGTCTGTTCCAGCCTTCTTCTAATCTGTGGTAATGCTTTGAGGCTTTAGGGGGTTACGAAGAGCCAGTCCAGCTGGGGCATGTGCTGGTCTGACTTCCTGTAACCCATGAAGCTCAGCCTTAATAACTACTAACCTCACTATGTCCTGGCCTGTGAAAAGTGGAGTCAATGAAACACTAATGGGGCAGTAAAACAGGAGCGCTGTGACTGTCTTCTAGTTACCTTTGAATAGCCTCATGTTCTAGCTGCTTGATATCTATCAATAAGGCTGAGTGAGAAGAGAGAGACCATGGAGCTGGAAAAATGCCTTCTATTTTTCAGATCTGTTCAGGTTCTGTGCCCTTGAGAGGTTTTTATAAGCTACAGTCTGGCTGTGGGACAGAAGTGCTCTATTCCTTGGCTTGATAGTGGTGTGGCTTCCACCTGGCTTCAACTCAGGTTTCCTTCATGTGGAAACCAGGGTAGAAGAGAAAAGGGTACAATCCATAGGATCTCAACCTGGCAGGGAGCTGGAATGTAGCCAAGGTGTGCCAAGCTGCCTAGCCTCAGTCTTGATGTGCCTCTTCTTATCAGCCTGTAGCATTTGGAAAGTAGATAATTCCCTGCCTCAAACGGAGGCTTGTGAAAGGGTGTGAAAATTAAAGCCAGGTAACAGCAACTGAACTAATACTACAGAAACATTTTGAGCCACAATACTAGAAAAGCCTTTAGTGATCATCTGGATTTTGAACATATGCCTGAAATAAGATTTACAAGGATAAGTGACTTGACTTCACAAGGGGGAAAAGTCTTTTGAGCAAAACATTCTCACCTGTTTTTATCTTGGTGGATGCATACTCCAGAGGCTTGATTTGTGTTGCTTCCTTTACAGATCTACGACAAGAGCTTGCAGTGCAGCAGAAACAAGAGAAACCCAAAACACCGATGCAAACTACTCTGGAAACAGAAAGAACAGACACTGCAGTTCAAGCGTCTTTATCTGTGCCTTCAACTCCCTTGGTGCACCGGGCACCCAACATCAACATACCCACCCCTGTGACATTTAGGAGAGGTGACTGACAGAGAACCAGCACAGAAATATTATTTGATGCTCTTATTTTTACTATAATTTCTGGCTACAGGAGAAATGAGAAGAAGGGCGCAGAGTTGAGTCTTTTGGTTAAATACACCCAAATCCAGTCACCATGGTCTCAGTATTCAAAGACTCTGATTTTGGGGTTTATTAATAGGCTGTTCATTTCCATTTGACTTGAACTGTCTAGTAAACATAATTGTGAGGGACAAGATGAGCTGTTGGGGCTTTACTAATAGGTCATAACTGGCCCAGAGATATTGGGTTAACTTAGGGGAAGGATTTTAGAAACTTCAGTGTGATCTTTAATGTCACACTCATGTCACTTGAATTGGCTTCTTTGTGAGAGTAGGTGCTCTTTGAGAGAGGCTTTCTTTTTACTCTGGAACAGCAGGACACCGATAAGTCATCCTAGTTGTCTGTACTAAATGACTATGTCTCTGCTTTCATGTTAATAATATCAGTTACTTGTTTTTTGTTATCACCAATTATTTCAATATTTGAAACCTCTAACACTCTCCCATCTTCTTACTTAAAAAGCCAGAAATCTGTGTAACTCTTTTCGTGTGTATGTGTAAACGGAGTTGTACTGTCACATTCTGATGATTCGATATTATAGCTCTGAGCACTAACAAAGTTTGATTGTGGGCTTCAATATGCTTAACCTAAAACTGTGTGTCTTCTGTGGGTGAATTAATGCCTCTGTAAAAGTGAGAGGATTTGGTGATTTGTAGTAAAATGAGAGATGATGGTCCTCTCTGAGGACACATCCCTCTGGTTCCACTGCAGCAACAGAGATGCAAAGTAGGCTGGTAGAACAGATCTCTAGAAACCCAAGCCACAGCATGTCTAGGGACTTTAGCTTAGGATAGTGTAACTTGAGCTGTCTTAGGGAGACAGTGCTTCATATTCCTAATGGATATGAAAGATCTGGAGGTGAGATACAAAATGGTGAAGATATTGATGTTTCCTCTGCTCTGCATGTCGGGCTGTCTTCTGACTTCCAATGTCAAAGCTGCTTTTTTTTTTTTTTTTTTTTTTTTTTAATGAGCAATGTATACTTCTTTAACCTGCCCTGCAGGTCTTGAGGACAGTTATGGTGCAACTCCTCTTACACCTGCTGCAAGAATATCTGCACTTAACATCGTGGGAGACTTGCTGCGAAAAGTGGGGGTGAGTGATTACATGGTAGGCAATGCAATTGAAAAGGTAGAGCTGTCTGAGACTGCAGCCAGCATTATTTGTGCTGCTGTTCAGGGAGACTGGAAAGAGTAACTTGCCTCCAGGTTAGCTAAGCATGGCCTTGAAATTTGATCTGGATTTGATATGTTTCTGTCCAACCCCTGAATGAAGATGGACCTTGCTCTGCTTTTCTAATGCTTTGCACTATGAGTTTCTGAAAACACATGTGCAGAAAGAATAAATCAGCATGAGTAAATTAAGAAGGGATTTGCTCCTATGAAAGGCAGAGGAGAAAGCAGGCTGGTGCCTGCTGTCCAGAGGTTTCTGGTGAACCTTAAGAGTCCAGTAGTCTTTTGAGCAAAGCCTAATGTCATGTTGAGCTGTAGTTTGACATTTAAGGTAGTGCTGATGCTAGAAAAGTTATCCTATGATTTCCTTCTGTTTTCTCCCTTATGCCCCAGTGCTGTGTTGGCACAAGCATTTATATGAATCTTTGGGCTGAGCTGCAGAACTGATACAGCTGAACCCAGCAACAAAGACAGAGTGATCTGGGATGAGTGTGTGTTAGAGAATAGGTTATCTGTGGCTCAGCTCCTTCACCTAGTACATACAACCTACATGTGTCTAGGGAAACAGAGAGCTTAAATGAATATTTAGTAATCTAAAAAGTGATGCCTGCAAGAAAGGTGTCAAAATCTCCCTGAGGAAGCTGAAGATTTTGTGTTCCTGCTGGTGAACAGCATCAACTCTTTAACCTCTCCTACAGAAACAAATTCAGCTTTAGAGACATTGTTGTCCCTCAAACAGGGTATGTTACCCAGTGTGCAAAAAGCCAATCTTACACACAGAGCTGAGAGATCATTTTATTCCACATTTGCAGAAAGAGGGGTGCTAGGTGGTAATTCCACAGAGCTAGCACATCACACAAGAACTTCAAGGTATTTTACACTTCAGGCTACACAAATACGTATCTACTATAATGACCATAGGGTGGTTTCTTATCACTTTATCTCTCATTGGTTAGTAATATGACTTTTGTTGATTTAAAGTTACAGTGTGTTTTAATTTTTCTGCACAGGCTCAAAGGGTAAGGGTCTTTATTTGGGCAGGGGTCCTCAGAGCAGTGGGTGTGATTTTTATTCTTACAATGAAGATAGTTCCTCCAAAGGACACTCCAATCTTTAAGTAAGCTGATTTATGGTAAACAATTTTAATGAGCTTCCGTATTTCAGGATGTAGTTCTTCAAGGACAGTAGCTCCTGATGAGAAGTTCCTTACTAAATCATTGCAGATGGTTTAAAGAACAGACTGACCTAACTGATATCCTATATGTCCTTGTACTTGATGAGAAACATTTGTGTGGGCTACAAAATGATGGGCTTAATCTCTTCAGAAATTCAGAATTCATGCTGCACTGTGGTTGGGCAGGTTCCGCTACTAGACAACTCATAAAAGAAACCGAAAAAAACAAACCTGAACATTCTTAATGCCATTTTGGTGTGCCGCAGTGCCATCTTGTGAAAGGGAAGGGTGTGATATCTGACACTTACTATATCTGTGTTTACATTAGGCTTTGGAGTCCAAACTTGCATCTTGCCGAAATTTTGTGTATGACCAGTCTCCAAACAGAACCACGGTGTCTATGTACATGAACAGAGATGTTCTTGAAACACGCCTGAGTCATCAGCCTCTGTGTGATACAGGGTGAGTCTATTCTCTACTGTTGTGTCTTTGTGAGAACTGTTGGTGTTAGAACTTAGTGTCTGGTACTGTACTATTTAGTATTACTACTTTTTTTTTGGTAGAGTCAGATTTGTTTTTGAAAGACATAAAATTTAGTTATTCAGGATTATGATTTGAATGTTTCAGATCAGTTTAAAATTTGGAATCACTAGCTGCTGAAATCCAAAGACTAGATGGAATCAAGTTTTGAAAAACCACAAATTGAAAGCAATTGTAACATGTTTTATTATAAACCCAATGTTTAAATGGGATATGAAGTACAACAGAGGAGTTCTTGCTTACTGGCTCAATTTGTTTTATGCCTTACGCTCTTGCACAAATGATGTCTCTGGAACATTTTGGCAGGTAAGGACTTCCTTTAGCACAGTTAAGATTCTCATTTATGTGAGAACTGGTAAAAGGCAAATAATAGATTCACTCAGAGTGCTTTATGGTTGCTAAGATGTTTTTCCAAGGAGCAGCTGACAGGAAGTTACCTGAATGGACTTATAAATTTGTCTGAAAGTATGTACTGTTAAAAAAACCAACCAAACAAACAAAAAACAAAGAAAACAAAACAAAAACAAACAAACAACAACAACAACAAAAAACCAAACAAAAACAAAAAAAAGGAAAACAAAACAACAAACCAACAAAACCACCAGAAAAGAAATGAAGAAAAATCAGCAAGGTTATTGCAAATTGCAGTTTAGTGCCACCTTAAACCCTGTCAGTTCTGTACTGCACGTTCTTTAGATTCCCTGTAAATTAAATGCCTACACTACAGTTTGTTCCAAACTTAGTTATTCAGCAAGACCCTTGCCCTGGGAATACTGATTTGACCTGTTACCCAAAGTTGCTGTGTGGAAGAAGTACACCACATTGTACTTGATATCCCAGCCTGGGGAGAAACCTCATGAAAGCTCCTACAGGAAAGCTTCAAGGGCCATATATTTACATACACATTCAGCTGATTATACATTTACTGCTGTAATGCTAGAACTGAAATTCCAACACCTGTAAAAGATAGCCTCTTGCTACTCAGAGGGAAACATAGCCATGTGTTGCAGTGGAAACTCAGCCCGGTTAAGTAGTGGGCTCACTTAGGTGCTCAGAGTGATATTCTCTTATCTGTTGATTTCTCAAGCTGAGTGGTGTACTCTGGAAGTGACCAGTTACTCTGAAGATGGTAACACTGAGCAAGAAATGCACTAACTTCTATTTTGTATTTTCAGGTTAGTGAAACGCCTGGAGTTTGGAACACGGGCTTCAAATATTCCAGGACCAGTGAGCCATCCCTCGCAAAGTGTTGTCAAGATGCTGCTATGAAAAGCCTGGCTGGCTTTGGAAAAGGAATATATATAAACATATATATTTTAAACTTTAGTTTTAAAGAAAATATCAATGAGCAAACAGGCAGCAGTCTCAGGGGAGGTGAGAACTGAGCAAGAAGCTGCAACTGGCAATGGCCTCCTGTGGCCTTGCCCAGTCTGGCCTTGGCCAAGTTCTGTGGGTAGTGTGATAAAGCAATGCCGCCTAGCAGTGCAGGACTTAAATTGCTTCATACATCAGTTGCTGTACATGGCTCACTGAAAGTTGTTTCTTTTGACACTGCCAGTCAAACTCATTGTCCCTCTACCTACAACAGAGACAGTATTCCCTATGCAGTTCCTCAGGCTTTGGCTTTTGGTGTTAATACAGCACCATGGCTTAAGTTCTAGTTGTGCTGACTTTCTATCATGGATGTTGTGTGCTGCAGTCACCCAAATTAGAGGAGTATTTTTACCTGGAGAAAGGCGTATTTCTGTGGGGAAGATGCTCAGCTCTGTGGGATGTTTGCTGGTCAGAATCTTGCTACACAAAAACCTGCCTCTATAGTGGTAAGATGGTTCTGTAAGCAATGATTTGCCGTTAAGAACAAGTCATGGTTAAAGGTGAGGAATGCCTAGTGCTTAAGAGTACTCAGGAGATCCCAGAGCTAACAGCAAGGTAGGAGACTTTGGACTTGCTTAGCATACAGACATCTTTTTGCCATATTGTGACCCATAAAGCCTGGTTGTTGTAGGAAGCAAGAGAGCTGATTAAGTTCCTAGTTCTAACATCTGAATAGGTAGGTTTTACTGCTTTCCAAACATCCCTTTATTAATGTGCCTTGGGTATTAATGATTTTTTTCTTGTTTTATTATTTTTTCTATGATAATATATGCTAGTTGTTACTAATTTAGAAATGGGTTTTTAACCTGAAAACTTCTTTATGCTAGACAAATGTATACGAGTAGAGAATTATTTTTAAATTAGTTTTTTCCCCTATAGAATATTACTGTGTTTTTCTTTTTTTTTTTTTTTTTTTTTTAATTGAATAGGTGCACTCACAGTATTAATGTATCTTATGGAAGCCTGTACTTGCAAATAATAATCATGTAATCATGACTAAACAATTTATGGTTTCTTTGCAGGGGGTGGGGTAGGGAGGGCTTGACAAAAGAATGCATAAATGGGTTTGGGTATTCTTGTTTTTATTTTTTGTTTTGTTTTGAGGGTTTTTTTATGTTGCTGTGGGTTTTTGGTGGGTATGTTTTTGTTTGTTTGGTTTGGTGTTTTTTTTTTTTTTTTTTAGAAAATACTGTGAAAACAGCCACCGATGCATCTATTTCTCTGGAATAGGAAATAACTACAGATCATTTCCATATCTACAAAGTTGGCTTAACTGGGGAGCAGAATAAAGCTTATTTTCAATGCTAGTTGTTGATTCATTTTGAGATTTTTTGCAAGTTGTCACTGTGGTTTATGCACAGATGTTTGCTACCAGTTTCTTGAATGTTTCTGATCAATGGTGCTGAAAGAGACCTTGTTTTGCTGAACTGTACACAAAGATTTTCCTACACCTCTTTCTTCTCATGGTTTCCTACCCTAAGGAATGTAAATACTGCCACAGCTAAAGATGCCTCTGGGATTTACAGTGCTTATTTCTGGCATTGAGCTCTCTTAGAATCTCAAACTCTGGCTGTTTTAACATGATTTTTGTCCTCTCGCACACAGAGTATACACTCTTCTTACCCACGAGGAGCAGAAGCATGTGGGCTGTTTATAGTTGTGCTGACACATGAACTATGGTTCAGTGGACTGTGTAGCCTGGAGGGAGCAGTCAAGACAAGTTTGGTTTTCCTTATCTTGCCAGAATTTGCCTGCTTTGTGAGAAAGCTGGCTTGCAGTCAGATTGAGATACAGCCTTGAGATATGGTAGAAAGTTGGAAAATCATGGCAGTGCTAGTATTATATATCTTACAGATATGCTATTAATGAGACCACAGATATAATCAGACAGACTAGAAGTGGATATGTTATTGAGAATTGTCAAAATAATTTAGTCTAGAACAGTCACTTCTAATGGTACAGAGTGGGATGTGTTTTTAGGAGAGGAACTTCAATTTGGCCACTGTTGCAGAAGAATGCTTTCTGTGGTGTTACTAAAGAAACTGACTCCTTGTCTTGTCACAGGCTTTGCACAACAGGCACTGGAACCCGAGTTTCTCAAGTGATAAGGGAGTGTTCTAACCATGAGACCAACATCTACCATTATGCATGTGGATTTTCTAGATTAATTCTTATTACAAGTTTCCATGTTCAGTTTGCTGGTTCTGCTCCAAGCATTGGTGCTCTAGACCATTTTATATGAAGTCTGACTTCCTTGGTCTCCTTGTTCCCACACACGCAGGCTCACAAGTTGTGTGTTTAACAGCCAGCTCTTGAGCATGTTTACAGAGCTGGTCTGCATGGCTGATGAAGTAATGAAAAGGTCTTATCTGATAGCTCCTAACTGCCTCCTGCAGCTTGCCATCTAAATTGCACTAAATGGACTCTTATTTAAACTCTTCCTTTATGCTTTTGTGAGCAGAGAGCATTCTTTGGGCTCTGATTCTGCTGGCTAAATGGTGCCTATCTGAATCTCCAGTTCATGATCTCTGTGCCTTCTGGAACAATGCTTAGATTTAGAAAACGGTTGCATTAGCTGTCAAGGTGGATGTTTTTGCATGACTTGCTCTCCTTGAAGTCACACTGCTTAAGGTTCACAGACTTGGCATAAACTCTCTGTACTCGATTTTGAGTAATTCTGCACCTGGATTTGCTGTGCATGGCTGTCTGCTGCCCCAGTATGACTAGCTAGCTGTTCTCGGAAAGTACTGGAGCTGCATGGATTTTGTGGTAGGTCCTGATAGTTCCCAGGAATGGGCTGTGGTCCTATTGGAGTGCTCCAAAAATAAAATGTAACTATGTGCAGTTCCTTTAATGCAGAATAGCTTGGCTTGGATCACTGCATTTGGTGTGGGCTGCTGTTTCTAATTTAGACGCTTTAGTTGAAAATCTCCCCACATGTAGAGACTTCAAGGGTGGGTTCAGTTGCCTGAAAACAGACGTTTTAGGGCCCTGCCTGCTTTCAAGTTGCTGCACCAAAGTGCTGCAAGTCACCTGCTGGTCCTATGTCATGTCTGTCAGTCCTTGGATACATCCTAGGGCACCTCAGCACTATGTGTCCATGAGGTAATCAAACCTGTCCTAAGTACTTCATGTCATTTTACATTCAGTTTGGTGTACCTTTTCTTTATTCCTTGAAAAGCAATTGCAAAGGCGAAAATCAGGGTTTTGTTCTAATGATTACAGATGACTTTTTCTAAAAAATATTTGACTTGTAAAGAAGCTCTACTGCATCCCCCATTCCCTTGGAGCATGCTGCATTGCACCCAAGTCACATATATACACAAGAATACTGGAGTAGTTTTTATAGATTTTTATTAGTGTGTAAGCACATCCATGGTGCATATAAAACTGTAACAGTTGACTTAATTTGAACAAATGATATTTTATTTTTCAGTAAGTGATTAAAAAGGCACTTCCACCTTGTGAATGGTGCATCAGGGGTGTAGTAACCAGGAAAATACCTTATATTAATTGAATACTCAAGACAAAATGGAAGTTTAAGAAAAGATTAACTGACCAATGCTTTTTTTTTTTTTCCCCTTCCAACAGTCTCACAAATCCTGTGTAAACTATAGTTCACTGGGATTGGAATCATCTGAGGTACTAAAGCTCACTTTCTGGAAGATTCTCAAAGTGAATTACTCTGTTAAAAAAACCTTTTCAAATACACTTCATGGTAAAATAAGTTTTGGAGTACTTCTAACATCAGTTGATACATTGGAGACAAGGCAGTTGTGCTTTTATCATTGTCAGAGGAGTGGGTGTATGTGACCTTGACACTAAGAGTAGACTTATACAGTGCTAAATATTGTCCTCCCTCCCCTCGCTGCAGTGCAATTTTAAAAAGCGTGTTTATTCACTGGCTTTTGTTCCATTGAAATCTCCATCTCTTGCATCCATTTCTTCATCACCTCCTTCTGTTGCATTCTCAATTATTCTTCGGCCTCCAGATCTACGTGGTGGGGCAAAAGATGCTGGCTCATTTCCCCTCCTGCAATAAGAGGGGGGAAAAAAAATAATAAAAAAATCAGGTATTAGGTCACTTGCAGTCCTCACAAATAAACACAGAGTTTTGTAACAGTACCTGTGGGGCTTATGTTTTTAAATGCAGAACAGCTGTGGGCCTCTTAATACCTCTTTCTGTTCTATAGCATGTAAGAATAATTTGGGAACAGGTTGAAACTCCCTGGGATGGGATTCTTGTACTTTTGTTTAAAGTTCTCCTCTAAATAGTCTCATCTGCCCCAAGCCTTGCCCCCACTCTTCCCTGCATTTCACTGTTTTCCCCTATGGTGTCTGCAGCTGGTTGTGCTTGGAAGGAATGGGAAAGGGCCCTGCTTGTACCCACGACAGCAGGGAAGGGTCCTCCTTGCCCTTTTAAAAGAGCAAGGGGAGAACAGCTTATGCTGAAGCTGACCTGCAGGTGGAATAAACCCACCAGTTACTGAAGGCCCATGAGACCTGGGACTGGAGCGGTGCTGTGGATGTCAGCAGGTATTTTTGAGCCCTCAGTCCCCCTCTGCAGAGGCTGCATTGATCAGAGCACCACAGGTGCCTTGACACATCTCGCATCCTAGGTTGTGAGTAGCTCAAATCTCTTTCCCAACAGAGAGAGGACACCAGTGCTGCTTTGGAACTGTGTTGTAACTCAGGTGCTGACACTTAACAGTGCAAGTGTCTTGCAGAAGTGCTTATAGAAAATGCTTTTTCCCATCTCGCCCCCTTTTCCTCTCCCATTTCCCTCCCATCCCCATATATTTCATAGCCGCAGCTCAAGGCAGGGACACTTTAGTCCTCAAGGTTAATTTTTTGGGGAGGTGTGAGCAAGTGAGACAGAAGATTGGTTTGTCTCTTCTTGGCCTCCATTGCTACTGTGTTACAAAACACGTAAGTTTTGTAATCTGGCCTCTCACTTGCCCCCATTAAGCAAACCTTTGTAAAGGCTTGAGACCACAGATACAAGCAATAAAATAAATTCATGATCACTGAATGTTGTGCCAAAATTACTAATTTGGTGTTAAATACACCCAACTCTGCACTTTTGGGTACAGCAATCATGCGTAAATATTTAAAGGCTTGTCTTGTCCTTGCAAAAGACTAAGCCAGTGGTGCCCTTTCTAAAGCAGCTATTTAAGTCCTGAGTTCAATCTTCCATGTACGGGAAGTGGGTAGGAACTTTGGCTGGACTAACTTATTTCAGAGGCACAAATCTGTGTTTCCAGGGTGGAAATGTGATGTAGTCTGTCTTCCCCAATTTTGCCCTTAAACTTCAGTGTGAGCAAGCAATTAGCTGGATAATAAAGGTTCATTTAAGATCTGCTGTTAGTTAACTGTAGTTGTTCTGGTGCCGATGGCATGTATTGAACACAAGGGTATGTCATTTCTATTCTAGCAGGTGCTTGACAGTCTTAACAGCAGTGTCTATTATTTTATGATAGCAGATATTTGTTATTACTGCGTAACAGGAAAGTTCTAGTTAGGTCAGTAAATGCATTAATTCTTGTCACTAAAGGAAGAGCTCTTTATCCCCTTGAACTCCTGCTATCTGGACTCAATTACTGATGAGAAATTTCTAAGATAACTCTTTAAGCTGCAGTAATCCACTGAAGCGTTATAAAGGAACATGGAACTCGTGGGGAGTAACAGCAAGAGTCTAACCAAATTGTGCAATACAGTTTTGGCTACAAAGAGAACTCCGTATCACACACTAACCACTTATTAACATAAACTATTGCAGCATGCATCAACTTAATACTTCTTTAAACTGGTATTAGCCCTGTGGATGAGCACTCTTTGTTCGTATCTGTTCCTCTTAAACAGGTTTATGGGTTTAATAATATTCATGTGGGCATTCGCATTAGTATCTTTAGAATAATGCGTATAGTTGAGGCAAGCCTTGAGCATTAGTGATTGCTTAGTAGCTCTGTATTTAATCTACCTGTGAACAAGTGCTACGGGAGTAGTGCTTGAATAACAGTCTGACTGGACATATTAGGCTGACTAAAAGGCACATGCAAGGACAAGACATCATCTTTAAATATTTGTGTATTCACAGCAAAATCCAGCATATGTAAAATAGAAGATATACAAATATTACAAGGCAGTAGCTATTTAATTTTTGCAACAGCAGATATTATTCCTATCTCCAGAGAATGTGATAAAGTATAATATAATACTGTGCTAGGTTACAGTGTTAATACTAATTTCTGTGTCCGTGCTTTATGCTTTAATAACAGTAGACAAACAACATGACTGCAAAATAGCT